AGGGAAAGTTGCGCTATAGGCATGTACACGCACTATTGCCCGGGGTTCGGGATTATCGATCCAAACTTTTCTGAAACGCTCGGCGAGCACAACTCCAACGTTCTAGCACGCGGAGCCAACTTACCAGTGCCCGCAGACGCGCCTTTATTTACGTTTACTTTTTCGACCGGAGTGGGAGATAAGTAACGAGATAGCCATGGAATACCGGTGACCCCAATGAAGCCTATGTCGAACAAAGGGCACCGCTCGAGAGAGAACTTCTTTTTTGTTTGTGAGACCAACACGAAGCTCATTCCTCCCTATGGCGGAAACGCCGCTACTTGGTTACGATAAGACGGCCGATGCGTGCCTATGCGTGCGTGTGCGCGCCTATGTGACTGTACGCTGTATGCTATATCGCCGTTTTATCTGGTAACGTCTTTTCCTTACTCTCCATTATTATGCAATGGTGAATTCCCTAATCTAATCCGCAGCGTAAGTTACAATATGAATTCAACGCGGTGACGGATGTTTACAAGAGGATTCAACACGTGCAGATCAATTTCTTGACAAATCTTGAAAAGACATTGTAAAGACTATGGAAAAGTTTTGGCTTAGGGAATAACGATTGTCCAGAAGTGAGGTGAGCTGCGACGAAGCCGAGGTCCGGCGAAAAGTCTGATAGAGCCTCCTCCGCTCGGAGTTGTAACCGTTGCGATAAGGATGTCCAATGCATCATCCAGCATAGTCGATTACAACAACATTACGATAAAAATGATACAATAAAAGTATAATGACGCGGTATTAATGTTTATTAAAATTCTATTTTTTAATTGTATGTAAATTTATCGAATAATAAATTATTATAAGAATAACACGAATTTCAAACTTAATCTGACGTAATTAATTCTTTGAATATATCACGACTAAAATGTTGCAAGCGATAAGTTTAACGCGCATAAGATAAAAAGTATTAAATTACAAAAGTATATATATTGTCAACATTTAAAGACTTCCATTTTCTTTACGATAGAAAAATATTCTTGCTGAGGTCACCGTAAAATTTTTGCCGTATAAATAATTAATGAATAGTAACCGAAGACGTGATATTTCAGCAAATATCTAACGAAAACGTAACGAGACAATAAATTTTGTAACTCTTTTAACGACTATAAAATGAAAATTTTCTATGCTTCTATTTGAGTTAAATATTTTTATATGCGTTGTAGTAACAAGAATTAATGATTTAAAATATGGGCAATATTTCGGGATTTACCAAAGGATGCCAAAATGTATTAATTCGTAGCCTTAATGCAAATTAATACATATTGGCAAGGTCCGACTAACTTGGCACATTCTTCAAATTAAATCCTTCTATAATACGATCAATTAACGAATCGCGTGCGAAATTTATGCTAAAAAGTTAATTTATTCAATTATAAATTAAATAAATTAAAACATTAAAATTTTTATAAACTTGAAGGCATTTTCAATTATTATTCTGATCGTTCGTAGGTTGAATGATAAATGCATATATGCAATGTGAATATAAATTAAGTTAATATTATTGAATCAAGTTTTGCGAAATATAAATAAAATATTGCACAGTGATATTTACCATTATTATTCGGATTATTTTGAAATTTTAAACGTTATTAAAATTTTTAAATTCGTTTAATATTAATGCGACACGCATTTATAAAATGTATAATAGTACATTTTTACGATTTTCTATTTGATAAATGTTGGGTAATACGATAATTTGAAAACGATATTAGAAATAAACATATATATGTATGTCTTTATTAAAGGAATCATATAAAATTTTTTTTTATTATTACTGAACATTTTTTTTATGATTAATAAATGTAATTGCAAAATACATTCATTTTTATTTTAATATCCTATTACAATAATGCTTATAACATTTTAGTTCAAATATTATTGACACAACAAATATCATTATTTTGAGTTTTATATAAAAACAAATATAAGCATGGTAATTATATCAAGAGATATATGTGAAAAATCTAATGTACACTATCATAAAAATAAATAGATAAAATTATGTTCATGGCAAGCGAACGTTAGATTTTATTTCTAGATAAAAGATTGACGCAAGCAGCAATAAATTTCGCTAATTAAAGTAATTAAACATATACATTTATTTTGTTCATTTTGCTCTAATTAATAATGCAGATAATTACAATTTTAAAAAATTTAATTAAATTAAATGAATGAATAAAGATGTTTGATCCGATAGCGCGAGTCCTCCTTTACCGACCGTGTCAGTAATTTACTCGACACAAAGCCATCAGGCTTAAATTCCTACATTGTACATTTTTTTATACATTCATTTTACAAATATTCCCTTATCGTTAAATTCATCCGACATGTCAATAACATTTACCTTCAGCAAGAATAAAACCGACTAAGTCTACAGTAATAAATATAAAAACACAAAGAAATGTTTCTTTAAAAAGACTCATGATTATTCTTTTCGCGACCATTGTCGTTGCAGAATGCTTTCTTTGTACTTGAATAATAATTTAATCGAATACATTTCATTGTCACTTTAATTTTGTAAAGAACCGAAACACGCTACGAATTGCAATTATTTTGTATTTTAGCGTTTCTCTTATAAAAAAAAAAAAAAAAAACTGTAATGCAAAAATAGAGAAGGCTTTCTATTTAAAAAAATAAAAGTTAATAAATAAATAAATAAATATTTCTCAAATGTCGCATTAATCGATGAAATATGGAAACTGTGTATAATCTAATATGCGACATTTTGATGCTGGGAATCGTGCGATGCCTATGCACAAGCAACTACTCTCCCCATTTATCTCAACAAAAAAAAAAAAAAAAAAAAAAAAAATTTTCCAGCATTCCTTCCAATACGTGACGCCGATTAAGTAACGCGTAGTTTCGACAAGTTTTCTTAATCAAGTAAATTCCATGGGAAAAAAAGTAAAGGATACACAATGAAAAAAGCAAAGATATCGAAAAGTAAGAAAGCGTGATGGATAATTAACATACTTGACGGTGAGTTGGCGCTGAATAAGTAGCTTCTTTTCAATCTGCTCAATTGGAAATTGTGGTACCTCGTACGGAGCCGAGATCTCGTTGGGCAACTCGTGCTGAATAAGTCTAAGTCTGCCGTTTCCATTGCCATTGGTAGGGCCACCCTCTAGGCTGAACACCGGGCTCTCGCTTCCTAAAGTACACAAAAGAAACGTCACGCTTATTATTTGCCGTTCTCTCTAGTATTCGGACCGTTTACTCATCCGAAAATCACCTCCCCTCCCCTCCCCCATACAATCGCACTCCCACCCCGATCTTCCAAAACAAAGACGCTTAATAGCAAAAAACATTTTTATAATTGTGAGAGGAGCGACGTAGAATTTTTATTCTTGTAAGAGAAATGGCTAAGCGCGTGGCGTCAAAACCCCGCGTTCACGTATCCGTCGTCATGTATACGCGACTAATTCGCTCGTTCGACGATCGCTTAAGAATAAAAGAATAAATTGCATACGGAGGACAAGCACAATTTGCGTCTACGCTAATTTTTTTCCCCCGTTTTTCCAAACTCCACTGGCCTCGCTATTTTAATTTACCATATGAATGCACTTGGCCGGTTTTCTGCAGCCACTCGACGACAGAGATGCCGGTGGAGCTGCTCGAGGAATGCGACAAATTCGTCTTCTTGTCCAGCACCATTATTCCTTAAAACGCTTGCAAGTGATCGCTTAGACGCTAAAACAATTCGTGAGACTATCACGTCTCGTGCAACTTCACGTGTCACGGTTATGTAATAACAATGCGGGTAAATACCAATCTCTCGATTAACCCGACACCGACAATGACGGGCGAGGCACTGCGCGCGGCCGTAAACAAAAAAAGTAACGTTAAAAGGGAGAGAGGAAAGGACGTCAGGTATGCGACCGACGGCGCTGCATCCCGAATATCTCGCCTCTTCCCGTACTGTCGCCGCTGCTTAAGAGATTATTAACACGGGAACGTCGCTTGCCCGTGCTTATAACGGGGACGCTCCTCGCTCTTATCGCAAATG